AGCATACTTAAAACCTTTATAAAAATACCTATAGTTAAAATAGAAATTATTTATAGTCTTTTAAAATTAAAGAAATAACATTATTCATGAGTATGCTCTTATTTTAAATAACATAATTATAGATTACAGTTGAGGGTTGGAACCTTTGGTGTTACACAGCAAAATAAAAACACTAAATCACCACAATATACCAAAACACTTTTACTTTTACAATGGACGCGCGTTTCGCTAACTATGTTAGCATCATCAGCAGATGATTATAAACTAAAGTACAATCTACAAGTTGAGCGTTTATATACTCGCCCAGTGGGCACCGAGTGGGCGTGGCAAAATCTATCCGACCGAGTCAGAACCCACTGAGCGTAAAGGTTGTCGCCCACTAGAACGCGGCGCGGCGCGGCGCTGGGAAGAGATTTTTTTCCGGCTGCGAAGGAACTGCGCCCACTATAGCGCGCTTTTGAAACGCGGCAACGCTATTTAGTTATAGTCGAAGTGTTTTTTACTTACTGTAGTTTAGTTTTTAAAGCAATGAGTTCAAGTACGGACGAAAGCGTATTTTTTGTGCTCTTCTAACAGAGGAAGAGGAAGAGGGGGTAAGGAAAAGTTTGGACTCATACGATTAACAAAAAAAGAAAGAAGTTTGGAAATTTTACCATCTTTTTCCAGATTTAATAAAAGACAAGATCATTTTTTTCAGTATTACAAAATATAAAGGAAACATTTTACGCACTCCTCAATTGAGGGTTTTAGAAGCAAAACACCGAGCATCTCTACTCATCATATTTTTTCAGAAGAGACAAATTACTAATACTTTTGATAATTCTTATTTATTCTGATGTGTATATTAGTTATGTGGTGAAAAAAACCCTGATCTTTTTTATATATTTAGGTAATTAGAATTTAAAAATTGGAGATTGTCACTTTTGTTAAAAAGTGGAGATTGCCGGTTTTGCCTCTACACCCCTCAATTATATTAAATCTTTGATAGAACGGCATTTCGTCCATCTGTCTCTAGTGAGGGAAGACTTAAAAAAATATCATATTCCTTTATGAAAATCGATTTGCCTAATTTACCTTTAAAAATACAATTCTACCATTGATACGTATCACTAGTTCCTAGTCAAAAAGCCAACTGAAAAGACTCGAATGCAAAATTATTTCCAATGTGAGTACGCACACTGCAACGCGCCAAAACGGCGGAGACGGAAAAAAGTTGCTAGAGAAGTCTTCCGACTTCTTGACGGAAATCCCGCGGCGCGCTTCTGCGCTGCGCGCTCTAATATGCGTTGGTCCATTTAAATACATGGCAAGCAGACAAAAGAAATTTTCACATGGCGCCGCGCCGCGTCGCGCTGCGGTCTAGTGGGCGACAACCTTAACAGTTAGATTTCCGCCACTAGAGTAGTAGGAACAAACAACTTGAAGGAATTGGATCGTTGTCTCTGTTTATACTATCTTTACATTTATTAATTCTGATGCTTTCATATGCATCTAATTGCCTGTAATTTGAGACTTGTTTAATTAATTTTAAATTATTAAGATCTATACAATGTTCTTTATCAACAATATGTTCGGCAACGCAAGATTTATCCGGTCTACCATATCTTATCTGAGCTAAATGTTCTTTAAATCTAGTTAATATTGATCTTCTAGTTTGCCCAACATATTTCTGATTACAATCTTTACAAGAAATTTCATAAATACCTGACCTTTCCAGTGGAGGTGTGGAGGTTCAGTTTTTAATCATCTGCTGATGATGCTAACATGGTTAGCGAAACGCGCGTCCAGTGTAAAAGTAAAAGTGTTTTGGTGTATTGTGGTGATTTAGTGTTTTTATTTTGCAACATAGTTATAATTAAATTAAAATAATAATTAAATTAATATAAAAATTAAATTTCTATATATACAAATTAAAATAATTATAATTCTTAACTTACTCTAACTAACATAACTAAATACAGAAAATTTATCCTACAAAATACATTTGACTAATGTTTAAGTAAATTTCTTTGAATTGTGCACTGGAATATGATATAAATATTGTCTTATTGTGTTCTTTTTCTCTGTCATTTAAACTAATTACAATGGATTGTATGGCTCCCCTCACCTGGAAAGTTCTTGAAGTTTTTTCGTTTTTTGTTGAACTTAAATTTAGCATTATTGCTATTTATGATTGTAATTTAGTTTTAATTTTCAAACTAACTTGCCATAAGTTGTCTGTGATTGAATAATTGTGATAAGAGTAGAAATAACTTTTTAACCTTTTTTAAAAAGAATTTAAACCTTTTAATTTGTTTGTGATTGTATTTTATATTTTGACCTCTATATGACTTTATTAGAATTTGTTTACTATTCTGATTGTAATTATTTTAGCTTTCTGGGCCTGAAGATGGGAATTATTAAGTCCTGAAACATGTCGCCCCCTTCTTTTTTTGAAGCAAATTAAATTTGAAATAAACATCTTAAAAGGTTGTGAGTTTTTTGAGTCCCCTATCCCTCGTCAGAGGTTTTACTTTAATAATATTTCCATAGTTTAACCAAAAGTATTACAAGCCTGGTATTACAAATTAATTTAAGGTACTATCGGAAATAACAAATATCCATCTTATCCGATAGTCAAGCGATCACCTCAGTAACCATCAATTTGAAGTTTTTTTTGAAGAATGTCAGAGGAGTTGACTAAATTAGGCAAAGAAAATAAAGTCCTCCTATTCTGGGTGCCAGCCCATCTATGGATAGATAAAAAAGTAATGAAAGAAAAAGCAAACAATCTAGCTAGAAAAGGAGCGAACACTCCACTAACTGGATCACAACCGTTCTGCTTCCCATTGGGAATCCTCCAACGCTTAAGACACTTGAAGAAATTTCTCAGGACATCAAAGAGATTTTTCTAGATTTAAGTAAGAACAATCTTCGGATTGTTATGGTTTTTTTTACCAGGACATACATACCATAATGTACACCTCAGTAGATCGAAGCTAAGACACAACAGCGAATGCAGATTCTGTGGGGAAAATGGGGGAACACCAAACCAAATCCTCACGGAGTGCGTTGAGACAACATCCATTCGTGCTGTGAACTTTGGTACGACTGATATTGCTGATGGAGAGCTAACCTCTGTAAAATCTTTTCAAATACTGGTTTTTGTCAAAGCTCTGAGACTGTCTGCTGAATTAGAACTCAACAAAAGGGGACACAATAGATCTATAAGGTCGCTGTGATTAGGCCCCCGCCTATTCTATACAATCTGTATAGAGGAGTGCTTTAAGTCCTTCTCGGATACAAACCTCGGAATTTATTTACTGTGAACGAATTTTTATAAAACTTTTTGCATTGTTAATAAGATATATTATAAAGTTTACCCATTTAAATTCATTGTTTTCACTTGAGTATTTCAATAAACACACAGGTACAAATATTACAAATGCATACATACAAGATGGCTCCGTGTTCCAAAACAGCTCTGTATCAGGAATTCTATTTGAGATTTTCACTCCAAACCTTTTACAAAATATGTGTTTAAAAAATATTTTTATAGATATACAGGATGAGTCAAATATATTTTTAAACTTAAGTTTTAGTTTTTCAAATTACTTAAATGCTTTATATTATTATTTGTTTAGTTCAGTGAATTTGCTATAAAATTCCTGTTCCAAAAATACCTTAATACCATAGAGTATACTGAGTGGTTTTTGAATTATGACCACGTCCATGAGGACGTGAACCTAGACGTCCAGGAACCTTCGTATGAGAACTTCTAATCGAGACGATCGACTTATTGTAAGTTTATCGCTAAGAAACCGTCGTTTGCCAGCTCCTTAAATTTTTAACGAATTTCACCTAAGGAACGTACATATTAACTAACGGACTATAAGAAGACTAAATGAAGCAAATATGTCAAGAAGGCTTGCTTCGGGACCAGAACTTACTAGATCTGTTGACTAGGATAAACAGAAAAGGCATGGTCTTAATGTAAACATTACGAAAAAATGTTGTGTGTTTTCTTCAAAAGCGAAATCTTGACCAAAAATAAAGCTAATGAGATGAACCGAAAAGCAAACTATCGAAAAAGGATGTAAAGGTGATAAAGTGATTTTTGAATTTCTTGCTGTTTTAACATATTCCACAGGGTGTTTCAAACTTTCACCAAAATGTCAACATTTTGTTTTCCCTCGTATAATGAACAGATGAGTTTCATTTTTAATTTAGAAAGAGATACTAAAAAGTCAAATAATTTGGCTACATACTACTGCTTAAAGAATCATCAAAATCGGCCCATTAGAACAAAATATATTAAACTTTAAAGTAGATCAAAGTTTTAAGATGCCAATTTTTCATGCCGGCGAATGCATTTGAAAAACTATACATTTTAGTCATATACTTTTCTAATGAAACTAGCCTTTATTTTTTTACTAGAATCCTGGCTGTTCCGAAAATCAATTATTATATAAGGTGTTCCATTACAAAAAACACAACCTTGATGTGTAACTTTTTTTTGGGGACACCCTGTAGAACTCTATATAATTTTAGAAAATGCTTTAAATTGATTTACATAAGCTTACAAAATTTCATTTCAATATAAACTTTTGTTCTCCTTGTAAAAACCGTGTCATATATGACGCGCCACCCTGTATAATTCGATTTCAATCAAAATTTCAATGATTAGAATATAAGTAGAATAGGTATAGCTTACATTAGATTCATTTATTTCAATAAATTTTCTTATAAAAAATATTAAAAAAGCTAAAAAATTAGGGATATAACTAAGAATTTACTAAAATTACTAAAATTAAAAACAACGAAAAAAAAATGGGTAAACATTTTAGTATTTTATCTATAAAACACAATACAGAAGGTTTTCATTAATACATTTACAGTAATTGAATTCCGAGGTAAAAGTCTCTCGGCACTCCACTAACAATTAATTTAAGATAGGTATTTCATATTTTTAAGTATGCATTTTTATTCAAAAGGATTGAAATTTGATTTTTATGTTTCAGGTTTTCAGAAAGAAATCGAGAATGGCCAAGGCAGCTTCAACCAAACAATCCAAGACGCCCAAAGAAGAGAACCACAAAAACAATCATGAATCAAAGCCAAAAGAAAAATCGGTGGAATCGATGAACTGGACGGAAAAATACTATTTCCTCAAAGAAAACATTACGGTAGAACCTATGCTGGCTTGCTACATCATACCGAGCGTTTTCGCCAGCCTGGCCACTCAAAATCTGAACTTGGAAAAGGCCTGTAGAGTTAATTTAGGTTATTCGACTGAGGTCTGTGATGCTCTTAGTGCTAGGAATACACGTAAGTTTTTTATATATGTTATGTTGTTAGTCTATAAATGCATTTCTAGATTTCAAATATCTACCTGCTAGTAGCCCAGTCAAATTAGAGAAATCGGTCGAAAAAAATGCCACAGTTTTGAAAATGGTTTTAAATAATTTCTCTAGACTTGGGCTGATATGTGTCAAAAGTTCTCGATAGACGATGAGCTCGAGGAGAGGGGAGGATTAAATGTCACTTTTATGACTCTTTTTAGCTTATATCTCGGAAAATATGACACCTACAAAAAATACCCACAGAAAATTGAAGCTCAGAAAATTCTCTACAAAATTGGCTGAATGCATTTTTTTCCTAGGTACCTTTTAAGAGTAACAGGGTTGACAAAATTAACACTATTTCTCATATTCTATTTTCGCATTTAAAATCCAATAATTAAAGTCTAAATTTAACCTTTCATATTAATAATGGTAATATTAAGGGGTCCTTATGTTATAAAAATATACGAAATAATATACATGTACTGATTTCTTTCGAAAATCGACAACTATGAAACTATGATCCCTTCCCCGACACAAACGGTACATTGTGAGACAGGAAATTGTAGAGAGAAACAAGCCCTATAACATAGCATACAACATTTTAATGAACAGTGCTTTCCATAAAATCAATAAATTGAAAAATATATGAAATAATATACATGTACTGATTTCTTTCGAAAATCGACAACTATACAACTATGAACCCTTCCCGGATACAAAGGGTGCATTGTGAAACAGGAAATTGTAGAGAGAAACAAGCCCTATAACATAGGATACAACATTTTAATGAACAGGGCTTTCCATAAAATCAATAAATTGAAAAATATACGAAATAATATACATGTACTGATTTCTTTGGAAAATCGACAACTATACAACTATGAACCCTTTCCGGATACAAAGGGTACATTGTGAAGCAGGAAATTGTAGAGAGAAACAAGCCCTATAATATAGGACACAACATTTTAATGAACAGTGCTTTCCATAAAATCAATAAATTGAAAAATATACGAAATAACATACATGTACTGATTTCATTCGAAAATTGACAACTATAAACTATGGTCTCTTCCCCGACACAAACGGTACATTGTGAGACAGGAAATTGTAGAGAGAAAACAATCCCTATAACATAGGATACAACATTTTAATGAACAGCGCTTTCCATAAAATCAATAAAATGAAAAATATACGAAATAATATACATGCACTGATTTCTTTCGAAAATCGACAACTATAAAACTATGAACCCTTTCTGAACACAAAGGGTACATTGTAAAACAGGAAATTGTAGAGAGAAACAAGCCCTATAACATAGGATACAACATTTTAATGAACAGTGCTTTCCATAAAATCAATAAATTGAAAAATATACGAAATAACATACATGTACTAATTTCATTCGAAAATTGACAACTATAAAACTATGGTCTCTTCCCCGACACAAACGGTACATTGTGAGACAGGAAATTGTAGAGAGAAACAAGCCCTATAACATAGGATACAACATTTTAATGAACAGCGCTTTCCATAAAATCAATAAAATGAAAAATATACGAAATAATATACATGTACTGATTTCTTTCGAAAATCAACAACTATACAACTATGAACCCTTTCTGAACACAAAGGGTACATTGTAAAACAGGAAATTGTAGAGAGAAACAAGCCCTATAACATAGGATACAACATTTTAATAAACAGGGCTTTCCATAAAATCAATAAATTGAAAAATATACGAAATAATATACATGTACTGATTTCTTTCGAAAATCACCAACTATGAAACTATGATCCCTTCCCCGACACAAACGGTACATTGTGAGACAGGAAATTGTAGAGAGAAACAAGCCCTATAACATAGGATACAACATTTTAATGAACAGCGCTTTCCATAAAATCAATAAAATGAAAAATATACGAAATAATAAACATGTACTGATTTCTTTCGAAAATCGACAACTATACAACTATGAACCCTTTCCGGATACAAAGGGTACATTGTAAAGCAGGAAATTGTAGAGAGAAACAAGCCCTATAATATAGGACACAACATTTTAATGAACAGTGCTTTCCATAAAATCAATAAATTGAAAAATATACGAAATAACATACATGTACTGATTTCATTCGAAAATTGACAACTATAAAACTATGGTCTCTTCCCCGACACAAACGGTACATTGTGAGACAGGAAATTGTAGAGAGAAACAATCCCTATAACATAGGATACAACATTTTAATGAACAGCGCTTTCCATAAAATCAATAAAATGAAAAATATACGAAATAATATACATGCACTGATTTCTTTCGAAAATCGACAACTATAAAACTATGAACCCTTTCTGAACACAAAGGGTACATTGTAAAACAGGAAAATGTAGAGAGAAACAAGCCCTATAACATAGGATACAACATTTTAATGAACAGTGCTTTCCATAAAATCAATAAATTGAAAAATATACGAAATAATATACATGTACTGATTTCTTTCGAAAATCGACAACTATACAACTATGAACCTCTCCCGGATACAAAGGGTACATTGTGAAACAGGAAATTGTAGAGAGAAACAAGCCCTATAACATAGGACACAACATTTTAATGAACAGTGCTTTCCATAATATCAATAAATTGAAAAATATACGAAATAACATACATGTACTGATTTCTTTCGAAAATCGACAACTATGAAACTATGATCCCTTCCCCGACAGAAACGGTACATTGTGAGACAGGAAATTGTAGAGAGAAACAAGCCCTATAACATAGCATACAACATTTTAATGAACAGTGCTTTCCATAAAATCAATAAATTGAAAAATATACGAAATAATATACATGTACTGATTTCTTTCGAAAATCGACAACTATACAACTATGAACCCTTCCCGGATACAAAGGGTACATTGTGAAACAGGAAATTGTAGAGAGAAACAAGCCCTATAACATAGGACACAACATTTTAATGAACAGTGCTTTCCATAAAATCAATAAATTGAAAAATATACGAAATAACATACATGTACTGATTTCATTCGAAAATTGACAACTATAAAACTATGGTCTCTTCCCCGACACAAACGGTACATTGTGAGACAGGAAATTGTAGAGAGAAACAAGCCCTATAACATAGGATACAACATTTTAATGAACAGCGCTTTCCATAAAATCAATAAAATGAAAAATATACGAAATAATATACATGCACTGATTTCTTTCGAAAATCGACAACTATAAAACTATGAACCCTTTCTGAACACAAAGGGTACATTGTAAAACATGAAATTGTAGAGAGAAATAAGCCCTATAACATAGGATACAACATTTTAATGAACAGTGCTTTCCATAAAATCAATAAAATGAAAAATATACGAAATAATATACATGCACTGATTTCTTTCGAAAATCGACAACTATAAAACTATGAACCCTTTCTGAACACAAAGGGTACATTGTAAAACAGGAAATTGTAGAGAGAAACAAGCCCTATAACATAGGCTCAGACTTATAATTTTGAACTGTACTGTGTTATTCTTAATTATTTTACTTAAGCGTCTTAGGTCATAATTAGTTTTAAAGAAAACTTTTTAAAATATTTTAAATTTAGAAATATCTTTAGGAGTTTTCACCTTGACTCTTTGAGTTATGTTATAAGTATTTATAAAATGATTTATATTCTTTATTGCGTCAATTCGATATAGGTTCATCATCATTTTCAACTTATTCAACCATTTCCAATTATGGTGTAGCCTCCCTCACATACTCTCTTTGTAGTTGGGCCCATTGTTGTCTATTGTTGGCTATGCTGGCCCAAGTTATCCCTGCTAATTTCCTAATATCATGGTCCCATCTCAGGTTTGGTCTTCTTCAAGGTCTCTTAATTCCTCGTGGGTATCATGCTGTAATTTTTGTGGTCCATCTGTTGTCCTTTCTTCTTGTCAGGTGTGCTGCCCATTGCCATTTGAGGGATTTGACTCTGTGTATGACATCTATTACCGGGGTCTATTGTCGTATCCACTCTATTATTTTATGGTCTCTCTTGGTTATTACCAGCATATATTTCGTTCCATTGAACTTTGTGTGACCCCTGTAGTTTCCTTATGATGTCCTTTTTAAGTGTCCAGGTTTCGCATGCATAGGTTATGAGTGGTAGTAGTGGTAGTACACATTGGCCATTGGTCGAATGTTTTCTACTTTAGATAGAGTGACATTCTAGATTTAAATATGATTGAGTTTCTTTCATAAGTACTCCAGGCTAGCTTAATTCTTTTGTTGAATAGGTTAGTATCCACTCTTTTCTTTTACGGCCTATCTCTCTTGGTTATTCTAAGCATAATCTTCGATTGAGCGTTGTGCGACCATTTTAAATGTCTAGGTTTCGCATGCCTAGGTCATTACTGGTAGTACACATTGATCGAATATACAATCATAGTGATACAATATAGGATAAATTATATTAATAGCCTCACTATGCCTTTACTTTTGAAGAAATATGGATGTTTTTATTAATGTTGTTATCGTACCTATTATGTAACTAAGAATGACTTTGCATTGTTGGTGAGGTAATAAATGTTCAAAGTCCTTAAACAAGTGATTATTTCATGACTGGTTAATTTTTTTTTATTATTTCATGGTATATGATTTGCTAAATACAGAACTGAACCTTAAAGTATATTTTTATTTAGTAGAAACACATCCAGTAACATAATCTGATTTAATGTATACTACAGACCACAGTGTTTTAAGTCTGACTGAAGAATATTTTTGTAATTTTCGAAAATTTGATGGAGAGAATTCAAATACCTGTATATACTTAAACAGAAATAATCAATTATTAAATAAAACCTACAAAAATAACAACAAAACGAATAATACAAATAGACAGCACTGTAAAAAAAAAGAAAAAAATTAGTCTGTGTAAAAAAAATATCTTATTTTTTACGCAGGTCTATTTTTTCTGTTTAATTAATTTTTTTTTACTATCCGCTAGGTTTTGATATTATAGGTTCCTTATCCACATTAAACAGTTTTCAATTTATTTAATTTTTTTTTAAAACATATTTTTTTTAGACTATTACGCTAGACTAATGATTTCCGACATTTTGATGGCTAAATTGGGGAACAGCTATAACCACTATTGAATGACTTTCTATTTTTTTTCGTTACATGCGAAAATATTATTTTGTAACAAATAGCTTTTTACTACAAAAATCCTAAAAAATCTCAAAAATAATATATTAGGGTAGGGAAGTTCTTCGTTACTGTCCAAAGTAGTGATGTAAGGAATATCACTTTTTATACATTCGCAAATGCAATTCATCTGCTTTTGTTTTTTTCTTTGATTTACTTATTATAATTTTCTGATTTTATTATAATTATCAGTGCTTTAAGTAATTCAACTGAAATTTTTAGGTTGAAATTTACTGTAATTGCTACATATTTTAATGCTAAAAAAGTGTTGACAGATTCACCACGGACGTGCAAAATTTTGCTAGTTATGGCTCATATGTTTTTTTTAGAAAAATATTCTAGTCCCTGGTGAATATTTCGACACTCTTTTAGCATTAAAATATGTCGCACTTATAGTAACTTTTATCCTCAAAATTTAATTGGATAGAGCACTTGAATGAAAATTATAATAAATAAAGAAAAATGAAGATTTTAACTCCCTGTAGCTACCAAACAAAGCAGAATCGGATATATGTTGATATAAAAATATAAATACATAATAGATTTACTCAATCTAAAGATTTCAAAAATGATTGTGTAAATAATAGTTTAGTAATACAAATAAAAATAATCAACGTGTTTGAATTTCAGAAAACTACACAGTAGAAGAAGAACAAGTACAACAATTAGTAGCTTCGATGGGAGTATGGAAGACCATTCTCCAAAGTGCACTTCCCGCTTTTCTGATCATGTTCGTGGGGTCATGGAGTGACAGGTGGGGCAAAAGAAAACCCTGCATGATTCTGCCCATCGTGGGTGAACTGCTCACGTCCATAGGACTCATAGTTTGTACATATTTTTACTACGAACTGCCCATGGAAGTGGCTGGGTTTGTAGAAGGCCTTTTTCCAGGTAAAGTCATTGTTTTTTTATTCTATGAATTTTTATATAATCTATTTTACACTCGTACAAACCATAGAATGTAACTCCACTTTATAAAACATAAAAATGTTGTCAGAAAGTGTTGATGCTAGAAGACTAATTTAAAATAGTTGGTACTACAACAGGTGGCACTCAGTGATTAGGTGTTTGCTGTTTCCCTATTTTTCTCACAGAAATCTACATCCGCCGTTGTTTCTTAATTTCAATCTACTGAGATTGTGCTTACTTAAATCAACGTTGTAAGACCTCTAAGAGAGTATTTTAACCATTGGAGGATTCCCATTCCAGGTTATGGATGGGGTCTTCCAGAGCTTCTTTCTTGAGTTCCGCTTTAAGTTGATTTCCACTTGGGAAGCAGAACGGTTCTGATCCAGTTAGTGAATTGTTCCCTCCTTTTCTAGCTAGATAGTTTGCTTTTTCATTACCTTCTATCCCTTGATGGGCTGGTATCCAGAGTAGGAGAACTTTATTTTCTTTGTCTAATTTGTTCACATTCTCTAGACATTCTTTGAACAACTTCAAATTGGTTATTACTGAGTTGATCGCTTTTAAGGCTGCTTGACTATCGGATAAGCTAGCTATTTCTTGTTTTCGATAGTTCCCATGTTGGTTAGAACGATATAGTGTAGATTTCTGCCTGAGGGATGCTGGGGTAGGTGCCTATTGGTTCGGAATATTTAGTTTTCTGCCCAAATACTTTTGTACCTGTTCCTGCTTTAGTCTTGGAAGCATCGCACATTATGGGATGGTATTTTAACAGTAATTTAAATCAATAATGTCCTCCTAATTTTAGAGGAGAGAAAAGAAGCGGCACAAAAAATATGTACACATTTAGCAAGTATATTCATGCGTTAATATGATAAAGAGATAACAATAATATTTGTTGGGGAACAATAAAAATCAATCTTTCGTTAAAAATTTTACGAAAAAATACCATGTATGTATACAAACCAAACCAAAATGATGTATTAAAAGTATCATTTACTTAAAAGCAAGAATGGAGTTAGCAGGTTATATACATATATATATATATATATATATATATATATATATATATATATATATATATATATATATATATATATATATATATATATATATATATATATATATATATATATATATATATATGTATATATATATATATATATATATATATATATATATATGGGATATGTATATATATATATACTATATATATATATATATATTAGTTCGCGGATGCCTCGAGCATGCGCACTAAAATTTTAACGAAAATCAACTTTGCGGACAAAAAACTGACAGATTAATGATTGTTGTTCTCTGTTCCATCACGATGCCGAACCAGCTTCGTTACTGTCAAAAGTGTTACTGAGACTACTGCAGAAACTAATTGTCATGCGGCTCTAGAATACTGGAGAAACTCACCCCTGGTTAGAATCAAAATATATTTTCGTTGTGAACCACAGATAACAGAACTAATTTGTGAACCATTTTTTTTACATAATTTCTGTATATTTTGTGTAGAAATTACTAAGAAATCAGTAGTAAGAATTGAATTATTTCTTTGTAGCGTCGATTTAAGTCTTAAGCTTTTTTTATAGAAATGGATGACAATGTTATTTTCATGATGAAATTTTTTGACATATCTACAGAGAGTGAGCTAGTCATTCTAGTGATGATGATGAAAATTTAGAATTATTGTTAGACATTGATCTTCGCCCTAAAAACGCACATTATTTAGGATCAAACTATCCCACAATACATCAATGAGCTCGCAGTGGATCTTTCGAGTAAAGCGACATGTCGCAATGTCTATAGCTGATAAATTTGCAAATAGTATTTATTACTCAGTAAATCGTTCAGGCCGTTACGGAAAATTGAGCGCTCAGGATGTCATTTACATATTTCTTTTGTATCTAATTATAAAATTTCTCGTGTGTAATTGTTCATAATCATAAAAACATTTCCTTTCAACCTTAAAAGCTTTCAGTTTCGATCAAACTGCAAGTTATCGAGATTTAGGGGATCGTTTTGATGTGACAATAAGCACAATATTTCGTATTATTAGACGAAGTTACATATATTGAGCAATTTTCTCTCCGGAAGTGATAACGTGTTTAAACTAGAAAAAAAAGGACATTGCAGCTCATTTTAATAGGAAGGGTTTCCTGGAGGCTATTGGAGCTATAGATGGATCGCATAAAATTGATAAACCTTCAGATGACCCAGATTCATACATGAATAGAAAAAGTTTTTATTCCATTCAGGTAAGAAAACCTCTAATATTTTGTTTTTAGCAGGCTAAGTTAGTATTTTTAAGATTCAGGCAGTCTGTGACCACAACTTACTAATTCGGGATATCTATAAAAAAGATTTCCAGGGTCTGTACATGATAGCCGCGTGTTCCGAAATTCACCATTATGTGCCACACTACAACAAAAATGTGTCAACTTTCATCTATTGGGAGATAGTGGATATCCTCTTTTAACCAATACTACACCATTTAGGGATCGTGGTGAGGGATAGGGATCGTGAGTACTAACACCATTTAGGGATCGTGGACAATTGTCAAGAGCTCAGACTAACTACAATGTTGCTTTGGCTACTAACAGATATATAATTGAACACTGCTTTGGGCTGCTTAAGCAGAAGTATAGGCAATTGTATCATGTTAAACTTAGAAATGTACGTGATATAGTTCATTTATCACTATCAAGCCTGTTGTGTTTTGCATAACTTAGCACTGAAAAGATGATGTGCCTTTGAATCAAAATGATATTGGACACCAGAATGAAATTGTTTTGGGTGACCTTTGGGATAATAATGTTGAGGATCCTGATGAGATACCTGATGATAGAAATGGTGTGAAAAACGAAATGATATTGTAAATATTTTAAATATAAGGTAAATCTATAATTTGGGACTACTGGATAAAATTTCTATTTTTGTAGATTACGAGTTTAACTAGTATTCTAACCATTATTCTCGAATTATGTATAATTTTAATAGTAAATGTTAAGGTAATACATATTTGAGTCTTTGTGTATTAAGTCAATTTAATAAATGTTTAGTAATCACCAGAGTGTTATTTTTACGATCAAACTAACTCCATACTGAATTAATATAATTCTATTATTTTAGTATCTATAAAAATAAACGACATAAAACATTAAATAACATATATAATATATTAAATATAACAAATTATAATTATTTTTTTTAACTGTGGAACTCCATTTGTTGCTTTAACAACTGATTTCTTTCTAAACCTGGGCCAATTTTTTGTTTTTGGATTTCCATTTTTAACTTTCAATTTGTATTCGTTCTTTGTAATATGTTCTTTCTGTTCCCTTATTTTGTCCAGTATTTTATTACGATTAATTATCGTTGATTTCTGTTTTTTATTTCGTCACAGGTTACTGATGAAATAGCTGTATCATCTAATCGGTATGGTGTGAAATATCACCTTTTATCTGCAAAAAATGTTTTTTACTTCTTCAAGAGGTGTCCTACTGTTGGAATCTAGCAGTATAAGTGGATTGACATTTCTTTTCTTTTCAAATATTTTGTCCATTTCGTCACTAAATTGAGTGCCAGGGAGCTACATGCAGGGTTCAGTCTCCAAGTTGCTAAACTTTGTGAAAAGGATAGGACTGGAGAATGTAATCTAAGGATCAGAAGAAGACCACAATAGATCTGAGAAGGTCGCAGTGGATCAGGCCGAAAGCCACCTCTAAGAATCTAATCTAATCTAATCTAGCAGGTTATCACGTTTCACTGACGATATGTGATTGTCAATAAAAGTTAGTTATTCTATTCAATCACTCTTTAGGACACTGTGTATCTAATTATAAAATTTCTCGTGTGTAATTGTTCATAATCATAAAACATTTCCTTTCAACCTTAAAAGCTTTCAGTTTCGATAATACGTTAATTATGTCACATTTTGTTGTTAAAAGTAAAAGTAAACAAATGCGTAAATAAAAAAGTAACGTATGTGAGTGTCATCTAAGAGACCGGTATTCGGTGTTTAAATGAAAACAAAGTCAGCTTTCATACTTTCCTTTCCTAGGTAATGCATATAAGAGGCTATTTACATACTGGGTGTGCAAAAAATCGTGAGCAAAAAAATATGTGCAATCTATTGCATATAGCTGTTCATTCAATCAATTTTGTCTTCTATATTCTATGAAAGTTATTCTATGAATGTGCTTCTATATTCTATGAATTACACTATTGTATTTCTTTTTTCGATTACACTATTGTATTTCTTTATTTAAGAAGTATCTATAGCTTATGTAAATGTGCTATACTTACTGTGAACAACAGTTACTTTTCACTTATTTGCATATATTAAAATTATTATAAATATGTAAGTATTTTGATTTTAAAAAGTTTTTAGTGCCGGTGGTCAGTATCGCTAGAATGACTGCAGTAAACCTGAGGCAAGGTTATACACAGTATTAACAATGGATTTGTTACAATTTATTTATTATATAATTATTTTTTCTTCCCTTTGCAAAACCGAATTAGATATTTGTTTTAATATGTACGCACCTTATTTTCGTATGAAATTTCATCTATTGTAAAAAATTAATGGGAATGAAATAAAATCCTATTTATTGGAAAAATACTATTTTTTTAAAAGTAATTTTAGTCTTTGTGGCTTGGTAAAGGTCTTGTAAAAGTCTGAAATAATGTTATTGCAAGCGTCTCGTGTCTCTACCTTTGTTACCGTTTCATTTTATTAAACAGTTAAACGTTAGTTATAGTTGAAAATATCTTTACTTGGTTGAGGATGTGAAGAATTAATTAATTTGATTAAATATATTAACGCACCTACAGTGTTTTTTCAACAAAAAGATGTTAAGATGCACCAAACACAGACAAACACATGGGGCATGCTCGTGATCATTAAAGCTTGATTTTCATGCATCCATAGACTTAAAATAAAATATAGACTGAGCATCTCATTCATAAATAGCTGG